AACGTAAACACCATACATAGATCACGATATACACGAAGCCAGACTCAATCAAAAGTGTAAGAACCTTCTCAACTGCCGTCCTCCGACGTGCAGCTCCAAGATATTTGGACATAAGTTTTCGATGTAGCCTACGCGAGAGGAAATTGAGCCAAGTCAATAAGGGTTAAATAGGAACGTACCATGCTTTGTAGGCGATGAGCAGGGTACAAAATATGTTGGTCACGTACGAAAGTGTGTAACTCGATAGGTCAGCATGGGCACAAGTTGCGGCACCAACTGAAGCGGCAGATGGAGTAAGGTCATTAATTGCCCAGTGGGTGCGCAGATCACATCCCAGCTCGAAAAGTCCAGCGACTACCATGTCATTCATTGAATAGTGTCTTTATTGGAGAGGCACTTGAACTCACTTAGTGATCCAAGCCAAGTTCCTATGGGTATAACAAGCCATTTTCGATTCCCCCTGTATACTGTCCACGTTCTCCACACAACAACCGAGTCACCGAGGATTAGCTGGTAAACGAGATAACACGATCAGTCCGAGGGCACCTCAAAACAATCAACTTGAGCTTACCATAAAGACGAACAATATTTCTCCAGTCCACACTGTTTTCTTGAGCTGTTCGTTCGCTTGATCCAGCTTGTCTTGAAGGGTTTGATCCGGGTTGTTGACCATAATGACTTGAATGCGCCTAACAAGGTCTGCAACATCAAGCGACAAGAATATTGTCCCACCCAAGAACATAAGTCCCGTCACAGCTAGAACGAATATGTTCGAAATGCGGAACTTGACTCCACGCTGGCTGAACAACCATCGGGCTAATGCAAGGACAATAGAAAGTCCCACGCACTAGAATATCCCTATTAAGAAACTCATTAGGATGAGGTATATGCCTTTGAAAACGGTGTTAATTCGAAGATTGCATCAGTCACAGACACACTATACCGTAACATATAGCGCCTGGAACAACGCGAGCGACCTTCAAGTTGAAGTCCTGCCCGACTTTCACCAGGACATCCGCATTGCTCGACATGAGAGGAAGGCTAGTGATGATGGGGATTGCGTGTGTGGGTTGGCCTTCGTCGTTCTCCGATAGAAGGGGATATTTATCATGAGCTAAAATCGGGAGCGTTCATAATAGCAGTACACATTGTAGGGTCATCTGCAACTGATCGCCCGAACTAGGCCTTGTCATTTTCATTTAAAGAACCACGCCAGTGATGCAACGAGGTGCTGGCGGTGAAATGATCCGATTAATATATCCTGTCGTAGTACTCTGACAAGTACGAGGACTCCAAGACGTGTCCAGGGTGTGTCGAAGGCACACTGGGATGTCGTTGAAATGCGAGCAAGCGCTCAAAAGTACTCACCACGTCCAGTCCATATAAAGACTCGCGGTGATCGCAAATTTTGCAGATCATCATCCGGATGTTCGTCAAGTGTATGATCTGTGATATCGTGCGAATCCCATGAATACATGACAGCTCCGCTTTCTGAAAAAGGTGCGAAGGGCGACTTTTTTCACTCGAGATTTGGAATGCTCCATCCAGACCGTGCGTAGGTAGTCGTCGCAACATGAACTCGACCAGATGTACGCCCGAGAATGTGTCCCGGATTTTGCACAGATTACAGTGGGGGGTTGCTTAAATCAGGAGCTGTCGAAGTAAGCCTTGGATCCGCCATCGAATTCGTGAATAGCGCGGGTAAACGAGATATTTATATGAGAACATTCTGGATGGTTAAAAAGAGAAGACCGACAGGGCTTGATTTGATTGGCTTTCTTAAGGCTGGATTGCTAACGACAATCTTGTGAATCCGTGATACGTGGAGACCACAGTGTCTTCTTTGTGATCGTACTTGACAGTGTGGGGAGTGGCAGAGCGAAACAAATTCGGGCACATCCAGAAATATTGAAACACCGCGCGGCCCAACACTTATCTGGGTGGTATGAGAGCACACCTATCTCAATTTTCCAAGTTAAAGATTCCCGAAATGACTTAAAATTGGATCATAAGAAAATATAGTCGTTGGATGTGGGACGATGCAAGCTATTGATACATGAGTGGGATAGGATGTGGGAGCGACATGAATTCGGAATTCTAAGTAACAGACAACTATTAACGTTAACTAATGTTGAGGTTTGGAGATATCTTCTGCGCAGTCATGCAATATCTGAACACCAGCATCCGAAAGCTCGCTCCGATGCTCAGCGCTAAGCTCGTGCGAGCGGATAGATACGTGAACCGGCTGGGAAAGTTTTGAGCGCGCTCGCATAAGGTCAAGGAGTTGCATGGCATTAATATCATGGCATTCAAGCCTCGTTAATGTAGGGCAAGGTGGGACGCTTGAAGACGATTCGGAGGATGGTTGAGCTAGAGCTTTTATTGCGTCATCCTTGGTCTTGTATAGGCCTAGATAAGCCAGTTCGTGGAGGTCGTTAAAAAATCGCAAGAAGGTCGGCGTATCGGCATCGATTGCGACGAGTTTTAAAGAATGGATGCGGGATAATGGGAATGGAAAAGAGCGTGTCGGCTTTGAAGAAGGGTTATGGGATGTAAGTAGTTCCAAAATTGGTGTGGCGTCGAGGTCGAGCAACGCAAGAGGGTCGAGATCAAGAAGACCCTCCAATGTGAATTTTCGGATCGCTGGAAACGAAAGTCTGGCGAGAAGCTTCACAGCGTAATCGGTATCACTGAAACCAAAAACAAACTCCGTGACGTGGGGTAACTCTATCACTGACAGCAGGGAGCGCTCCTGTTGTCCTGCATTTGTGGATGGGCTAGAAGTTGGAGTGCTATCAATCCGTGGACCTCGCCCAATAATGGTAAGATGTCGAAGATGCCGGCATTCTGCCAACATGCTGCTGAACTCGCCCATGGATGGCGTAACGTCGCTTGCCAGATAACGGAACTCGAGCTTTGTCAGATTGTACAATGGTGACGCTGCCCAGTCGACATGAACACCTGTCAAGGTTACCCTGCGCAGGCGCTCAGCAACATGGCCTCCAAACAACTGCACTGGCTTCCTCATCTCCACCGGTGCAAACGTGGCGCCTTTCGAAGCGAAAAAAGCATTACACCGATGTAGGGAGAGTGACTCGAGGGAGCGAAAGTTGGCTCGACGAGTGTAGGAAAGGAAGGTGAAAATAGGCGCCCAGGTGTCAGTGAGGAGTTCGAATCGTTTCCATCGATGAACGTGAGTCATTAAGAGTCGAAGGATTGCTTCCATGTCCTGCCATCGAAACGCATGTAAAGATTCAGCGAGATCCCAATCCCACGATGGATCGCGGAAGTCGAGTAAGATGTCCAGCGGTGCCGACCTCGACCGTTTCAGCCATGTAATAGCACGGGAGAGTTGCTGGTGGGAGGTCGGAAAGGTGATGATGATGGTGTTCCAGAGTCCACCCGTGGAAATGGCGACATTCCTCCAACGAGTCGAAACCTGCGATAGGATGACGGGTGTTAAGACCATCTCAACACGGTCTTCAGTATCCTGCGTCGACAATAAAAAGATTTCGGAGAGTAGCTCGTTGGGTAGACGGGATGAAGGAGGAAGTTTGAGCAAGGAGCTAAAACTTCCGAAGAGTCTCCTGGCATTCATGGTTGTAGGAGGGAGGTCTTCGTTGGCTAGTTTTTCGATGATCTCCACGGTGTTCATTACTACACCTCTGGGTCAGATACGGATTGAGACAAAATGCAAGGTAGCGTAAGTCGAAGAACACACCGAAGCACAAGACCACCGAGGAAGCCACAACGAAAAAACAAACCGCGGGGTTGGGTTATATACTAGAGGTCAGGGTTAAGTATCGTTTGCCGAGTTAAAAGAGACAATCACCTTGCATCAATTGTACCTGTAGGGTCCGTGATCACTGAAAATGGATAGCCGAGAAAAAGACACGGCAGAGAACGGGTCGGGAGGTTGTAAATTTCTAGAGAACAAAGAACCATCATCCGCAATAGGAAAGTAAGGTCCAAACTGTGACACGAGGCGGAGATGATTGGCGCATGTAGGCTTGTGGATCAATTATGGGCGCGTATAGGTTCAGTGGTGGAACTGAGCTTTGAGACGCACAATGGATGGTCATAGAGCCCATTGTGCTGTCCAATCCATCGATTGCCCATTATCTCCTCCAGCATGTGTAAATGGAGGTGCAGATGGTGTAACTTGTTAAGGAAGTTCAAACGTCAAAGCAGCCCGTAGGGTCTATAGGCGCCCTTAGGCGCCCCGTAGCAACACACGCGGACTGGCGGCGATCACAGGGCAGGGGGGGTCCGAGTTAACCGTAATCGATTCAGTGACCGTTATACCACTGCACTGGGCACTGCAAAAAGTGAATAGAACGTAAATGTGGTAACCCATCTAGCGGACCACTTTGGCCGTTCAAGAGCGATACTACGCACTTGGGCCACTTTTCCCATCTCAAGAATACATATGGGTCCGAGAGTACTCATCGGTTGCGTTCTCCAGATGGACATATTCATCAATCTCTGGCTTCAACAGTAACATGACACCCGCTATTTGCCATAGAAAAGATCGTGATTCCCAGGAACCTGATAACAGATCAGCCAAACCCACAGCATTCTGCTCAAATTGGCCACCTCGAGGCAGACTGAGGTGTCCAAAGATCAAGTGCCATTGTCAGTTCGACACATCACTGCTGCAGCGCTGAAACTTGAAGGTTCATATTTATGCAGGCACGAGTCTTGATCGAAAAGCAGGTTGATTTGTGCATTGCAGCCTTCTACCATCGTGGACTCGGCGGCTCTGAGCGAAAAGACACCACATGAAGTTGTGGCAGTAGGTGTCAGCCTAAGATCGTAGTTGGTGTCAGCCCTAGGTTGTATCGTGATATCAATAACCCATGCGAATGGAAAGTAGGAACCATGTTTCTGATTGTCGGATCCTTGGCATGGGCTGAGAGAAAACCACTTTGCTGCTCCCCCGATATATATGATTGAGAAGAAGAATTAAAAGCAAAAACCTTGCCTAACACCTGGCAAAGAGGCTCTACCAGGGTTCGAACCTGGGTTTCGGGAAGATCACTTCAAAATCCCGAGTGATAACCACTACACTATAGCGCCTATAGCATTTCAGACAAGACATATTATCTCTTCCATATTACACTCTCATACATCTGTCCGAATATACAATTGACCTTCAAAGCCCCTCAAATAGACGGCATCTCCTATGATACCTTGCGGTACGCTTGGATAGCTTCCCAGTAACAAAGAAGCGGTTCTCCAGCCATCACCCAAGGCATGTGAATACTCAATCTCTGTCCCCTTGAAGTTGAGGAGGGCAAGGATGGAGACATTGCCCAAGCTGCGTGTGTATGCGAAAACCTGTTCATGATTCGGGGAGATGTCGACAAAGTCGCCGTAGATCTGGTGAAAAATAAAAAGTGATGGGCTCCGCGGACAGCGACGAGAACAGCAACGGGAACGTACCAGAACATCGTTTGCTTTCCGTACTTTGAGTGCCTTCTTCCAAAAGCTTAGGACGCTGTTCTCGTTCTGAGACTGGGCGGAAACGTTCCATGAGTGGTAATCATCATTAACTCGCATCCAAGGATTTCCGGTCGTGAATCCGCCATGAGGTGTATCATCCCACTGTCGAACGTATCAGACCTGGTTTTCAAACGAGAGCGTCGATCGAGTCCAACTTGCCTGCATAGGAACGCGAGAGTGGTCCCGGGCTTTACGAATCGTGCTATATAGTGGCGAGACAATATGAAAAAAAAAAAAAAAAAAAAAAAAGACAGAAGGGCCAGAATGGCTAACCTCATCCGACGTGTGATTCACGACGAGGTCCATCCTAGAATAGCAGCAATCATGGTTACGCGTGAGACACGTTGTGGACAATGAGGCTTCCGTCTCACATCAACTTCATACCCCGGTCATGCACGCCCTTGAGGAGATTGTCCCAATCCGCCAGGGTCCCGTATCTCGGATCGATGTCGCGGTAATCGGAGCTACCGAACACAATGGTGAGCATGGGCAGGGCAGGGAGAGGAGGAAGGAATAATTACATATCGTATCCCATATCGGCCAAGGGTGAGCGGTATATCGGGGATAGCCAAAGGACGTCTACGCCGAGATCTTTCAGGTAGTCCAACTTCGCGTGGATCCCGTTGAGGTCGCCGATGCCGTCCCCATTCGAGTCGAAGAACGAAATGGGATAGATTTGGTATACGATAGCGCTCTTCCACCATGCCCGGTTGACTGGATCGCCGGCAGGCATGTTGGCGTGAAGGATAAGGTTGAGAGTGACTGGGTTTGAGGAGACTTTTGTAGATAATTTGTGGAATCGATCCGATAATCCGAGTCATACACCATAAGTTGCGCACGAGGTGCCAACATGTGATCGCCATTAAATCGTGAATTACGGGGAATTAAACACCAAGTGCGCTCGCTGACTCGGAGAAATGATGACATATTTCTTGCCGTCACAGGACAGCCCCAAAGGCAGTAGAGGTATCGAAATGGCCTCGAGAGTCGAACTATTTGGAATCATTATCGGATGACAATGTCCAAGAGGGATCGCGTTACCGCACCGAGTCGAGACAGTCATGCTCGAGAATCGCGTGGTCGGATCCATCATGTTTCTCTTGGCACATCCTTCGAGAGAGATATAAGGCGTTCTGGTGAAAGGCTCCTTCCACTCGTTGCCCAGGATGAGAACTTGAAGGGAATCGTGGAACCGCTAGTGCGTAAATGGGGTCTTTCAAGACTGCCACGATCCCCGTGATTACATTGGGAATGCCACGACTGCCGGTAATCGAGTGCACAGCAAATCCTGAAAGAGGAGAATAATTGACAAGCACCAAGGACCCAAGATTAGCAAGAAGACTAAAAAATAAGGTGTTAATGTCGAATTAGCTCCGATACTTACGTTATGATAACGAAGGGTCGGTCATCGCCAGTGGTGTAGCCTTGGTCCGGAATCCACGGGCTCAAACGACCGACGACTGCCTGTGATCGATCTAAGCATGTTTGGGGAGAAGCGAAAGAAGGAAGGGATATGCTAGAGCAGCCACTGCGTCCTCTATAGGCGCCAGGGATCGATTTGCTTGAAAGCAAAGTAAGGCTAAAGAGCAGAATGAGGGCTCCGAGAAGGTGTGTACAATCGATGTTGTGCGATAAAGATGTATAGCGGCGTGCTGCGAGTGGAAGATTGTTCGAACGTGTACGGAATCCTCTTGTTCATTTCAAAACTTTGGCAAAGTTCCAGTAAAGGCAGGAGCGCGGCTCATCGGTGCGAGCATAGCTTCAAAAGCGCACATGGCTTCCCTCCTCCTTTCTACACATATCTGAGTGAAGGATACTCATCGCTCCATTTTCATCGACGCTCGGTGAGGCTATTCTGATGGTGTGCGTCCCATCGATAAGGAACATTCCTTCTGTCTCCCTTATTAAAGATTAGTCTGTGATGTTCCACTGAAACCCAATGAGCGCACCTTGTACTGATGTCCTTTTTTAGAGTGAACTACATGACGCCCTTTCTGACTTGTCAAAAGGTGACCAGCTCCTTAAGATATGGAAACTGATATGGCTTTTTCTTTTTTACTGCTGGCCTCCTCGTGTGAGCTGCACGCATCGCTATTCGGTTAACATGCTATATCTGCGTGGCCCATCGATAAGGTTGTGCTCCAGGAGCGTTTGTGTTTGCACGATCTCTGTCTGCCTGGCTGGTGAAGATAAGTATATGCTGGCCCAGTGATTGGACAAAACGGACAATACAAGTACTCATGGGGGCCACGGTTTCCGAGCTCAACTTTACGTTGATAGCGCTAACCAAATGTATTCTGTAAAGCACTGGCAGCTTGAAGCTCCGGACAATTGTGTGGAATGGAAGGTTGCCTCGTGATGGACACGCCGCCGATTGTGACCACAGCCACAAATTGTTCCCCCCCCCGATCATTGTCTCATTCAAAAATTTCGGATCTCCCTATATAACAGAGCATCCTCGTATCCCCACATCTTCACAATCATTTGGTCACTATCAAATACTATCATCATGGCGAGTTCCAGAATCACACAGTCCCCAACAACTCCT